GTGTACCCAGAAATGTAGTCCTGAGATTATTAATCCTTATAATTAAATTTTGCCAAGTATCCCACCGAATCAGTGTGAATTAGCATCTTTCAGTATAGCCTCTGTACAAATTATATGTGGTTTACTCAACTCCAAATCAGCATTGCAAATATGGAAATCATTGCTAATTATGCTGAGCCCAGCTCACTTAACATTTTTATAAAGGGCACTCTGTATGGCGTTTTCTTTTCTGAATTATATGTTTTGTTTAAGAAAAACAAAATGTATTTCTAATAGAGTACTCCTAGTTGTAATATTGGATGAAATATAATACTTCTCAGTGGCTTTTAAAAATCTAGAAAAATCATTAAGATTTTTAAGTGCCATTTCTTATATGCTTTTAATATTACACACGGATATTTCTTTGAACTTTGAGTATGTAGAGAACTTTATAGAACCTGGGGTCTCCCTTTCCAAAGAATTAGTTTAAATACATACTAAGTTACATTGCATGGTAATAAAACAGCATTCTTTTAAAAAATGCCTACTAGCATCAAAATTATTTTGTGTGGGATTGGATTGCTCTTCAGCATAAACGTGTTCGTTTGTGAAAAATAAATTTATGTTATGTCATCTCTCTGGCTCAGGGTCATAACCTCCTTGTATTTCTGATAAAATTACAAGTAATTACAAACTATTTAAATCTATTGTAAGAAGTTCTTCGTTAGGAATACTGCATTTTTATTTTCTCAAAACATTACTAATTGCTCTAGTGATTAAATGGATGCTTTTTTCGGTAAAGAAGCTAAACATTTATGAGTTTTCATTTTACTTGCATTTTTACGCAAACATTCATTTTATTTTCTCATGTTCTGAATCTACATGAATTTTTGATCTGACTTTAAAACATTACTGTAGGATTGGCAAAAACACTAAATCCTGTATTTATAGTTAACTTATGAATCTTTCCCACAATGATTCGTAAGCTTCTCTGTCACATTTTGTCAATACATTAGTTACTCCCTAAGTCTCAGCCAGAGAAGCACATTAGACCATCTTACCAGTACTGGTAACCAAAAATCTTATTGAAAGTATAAGTTTGTATTAAAAATGTAAGAGTAGTTGACCTGGAGTGTTGATTGGGAACATGGTTTCCAGCTGTTTCAAATATTTAGCTTAAGGCTTAGTTGTACAATATGTTATTGTATGTAACCATACTCTCTGGCATTCTCTGTGTATTTCTGTACAGTTATCTTGTGTACTTGACTGCTTTCACTAGACTGTAAGCTCCTTGATGCTAAGGACTGTGTCCTTAGTAATAGCAATAGGTCCTTAGTAAATTTTCGATAGGTGGATAAATGACTATTGATCTTGGTTTATATACCCAGTACTTATTTTTTCAACTGTAGTATATGCCCCTTGTGAATATTGGATTTTATCTGTGTAGTCTCCTGTAGTCTCTGCATTTTATCTTTCATTATAAAATCCACCTTGTAGAAGTTATATTCTGATATAATTGAGATATTTTATCTCTAAGCCCTCTCAAAAGAGGGTATATATAGTAGGAAGCAATATCAATGAAAAATATAGTAGGCAATATCAGGAAAAATAGGACTAACATTTATTGAGGCGTTATGAAGGGCTCTAACATATATTAACTCATTTAATGCCTACAAAAACCTATGAGTAAGGAATGATTATTTGAAAATTGAGATACAGACTTTTAGTAACTTTCCTAAGGTTTTATACAGCTGGGAAGTGACTTGATGAAGAGAAGGACAGTAATTATTTTGGAAAGAGATTTTCAGTGACTATATATGTCAGATCTACTGCCTTCTCACTTTGGTTCCATGAGTGATTAAATGTTCATGTGAACTCCAGATCTCTGATAAAAGATATAGCTCGTTCTCTTTTGGAGATCAGTGCTTAAAGAACAGATTATTTCAAATGAGGACTACAGTGAGTTCTGACTTCAAAGGAGAAGAGTGTGCTATGATTAACAGGAAATAGTCTCTCTTTAACTTACCTTCTTAGATTGAACCTGAAAGATCATTTCTTAGGGTAAGATCAGCCCCAGGAGAAGATAAAGTATTGGTTGATAAACTAGGAAAGGCCCATATAGGTCTTGCTGTTTCCACTTTATTCTTTTTTAGAAAATAAACTTTCCATTTTTAAAATAAGAAAGCAGGGCTGCCTGGGTGGCTCAGTTGGTTAAGCGTCCAGCTCTTGACTGGCTGAGGTTATGATCTCAGGGCTCTGAGGCCAAGCTCTGCATTTGGCTCTGCCGTGGGTGTGGAGCCTGCTTATGAGTCCACTCCCTCTTCTTCTGTCCCCCCCCTCCCCCCGCCACTTGCATGTGCTTGCTGGCTCGCTCTCTCTCAAAACAAAATAGGAAAAGATTTTCATGTATCTCTTATTTATGCAGATTGATAGAAGTCTTAGATATTTGGGTCATTAAACCCATCATCATGGTGTAAATATTTTTCTGGAGGTAAGATACCCTGATTGTAGACAACATACTATAAAAATTTGTTTCTTATTCTTTGACAAATGCATTTTTTTCTGGATAGTTGAGTTTTATGTATAACTAAGTATTTATGAATTACATTTATACTCCTCAAAGATGGCAAGTATCTTACTGGTCCTTTCTTGATAGTCACTAATGGTATTGACTCTTATGCTGAATGAAATTACTGCACCAAAATCCATTTTAATTATTTGTAGTTTGTTTTTTCTAAAATAGTCCACATTTCCCTGCTTTGCCACACACACACACACACACACACACACACACACACACACACACACAGACACACACACACACAATATATATAACCTCATTTGGCACTTTTGGAATTAACTTGTGGTTTTCAGTGTTCTGCCATTAGTAACCCTCTCTCCTCCTCTGGTTTACAGATCCTATTGTGTTTACGAATGTGATAGCATGTTGGCTTGTGTTGTTCTGAGCACGTTCTATAAGTGCCAGGGACGTGTTTATGCCATGTTTGGCTATTCGAATACAAATTGCATTTTCTTTTCTTGTAACAGTATTCTTGATAGCTGAGTTCCAGAGAGAGATAAGCATTTGCTATTTCTAGAGGGGGGAAAAAAAAACAAGCCTGTTTTTGGCTAGCCTCGAAAATCCTGTTCACAAAGTCATGGTAAACATCACATTCTTTGATAGAATAACCATCTGTTTATGATGACTTAACAGGTACTATTCTACTTATTTCTTGAACCAGATTCTGGAAGGATGTCAAAAGCACTTGGAAATAAAAGCTTTTCCCACATGAAATCTAAATCCAAAGTCTTTGAAGTTGATTCTTTTATTTAAGCCACATATAAGTACCTCAGAGTTTTAATCAAATTGTAAACTTAAGCATAGTAAAAATTTACTATAATACTAGGTGTAGTAGTCTGACTCTGTAGTCACCTTCCTTATCCCGAAACAGTTTGTAAGTATTATCCACAACTGTGATTTGAGGCCATTTACTTACATGTCCTAAGAGCACTTACAGACCTCTGTCCTGTCTTTTCCTTTGCCTGGTTGCACAAGCTGCCTAGATTGTTCTGGGGCAACGTGTCGCCCATCAGTGCTAAGAACCTGTTCAAATTACTTCATTTACTTTCCGTACAGATGTGGAAGCAGAGGGCCCGCTTTCCACTAAGCCCATAATCAACGTTCTCATGTATTTGCAGATTGTGTTGCCACAAAGTAAAATGTTATTTTGAGGAAATTATGCAACAGAACTGAGGAAAGTTAATTATAAATAGACTTGTCATTGGATACCATGAATTTCAAAGCATGATAGGAAAACTAATGAATATGGAATATGTGGCTAATCTACAATCTTGTCACAAATTCCCAGGGAAGAGGGAAATGAAACACTGCTATTGGTGACTTTGTCGTCTAAAAAAATAGATTTATTTTCTCATATGTGGGCTAACTATAGTTATTCAACTGTTCATACATTGAGAACTTAATACTGTGAGCTGTTGATGTAAATGCTATAAAGAGATTTTTAAAGTCAAATGTTTTTTGTTGGTATCATTGGAAGAGAGGTCCACAACCAAAGAAGTTCTTGGGATTGGAGTGGCCACCCCAGACACTTGCATGTTTCATAACAGCGTAACCACCTGTCATATGTGAGCGAGCTCTTGAAGTAGAGGATAAGAGGAGGGAAACTTCTCTGACTGTTTTTCATATATTTGAAAGAACATATTTTCTTTTGTAGTACTTTGAAGTCTGTTTAAAATGTAAATAAGTGTCTAAAATAAGATTGTGTCATTTGTGTTTTGGTTATCTGGCTATTACTTACCAGCACAGTTTCTCAGCCTAGCGATGGATTTTTCTCTTAATGTAAATGAAACCAGCATATCTAGAAACTGTCTTCTCTTTGTTGAATTGTTTCACTTACCTATTTGTGTTAGAGCTTTATAGAAAGCACATAAGAAATTGTATTATTATGAAGATACTGCCTTTCTGTTAAATAATTTCACTTTCCTTTTCAGAGTGATAGATGCTGTAATATGGCAAATGCGTAGATTGCCTTGTTGGATTGTGTTTGTTTATAGAAGTCCAGAACCAGTAGCCTTCTTGGGCTCTTCGCAGTTTTCTGTTCATGAGTGCCTTGAATTCATCATTTTGGTATTTATTTTCTCGTGCATATTCACTGACAGTTGAATTAAAAATAAATCCTAGACTTTTAGAAGAATTATCAAAGAAAGCAAATGTAATAAAAGGTTATAGTTTAATAAAGTGAGACTCCTACAATTTTTGTAAGGTTTTGTAATTGAATAATTTTTTTTTTTTTTGGCACGATGTAATGTTCATTCTGTTTTTGTCAAGGGGATTTCAGCAATGTATGCAGTTAATTTAAAATTCTTAGTACCCATATGTAAACTGTTTAAGTCTTTAGAATATTCTCTAAATACGATGAAAAGCCTCATAAAGTAGATGTAGAATAAAGTCTTGATAACTTTGTTCCATCTGAGTATAATTTTTCTTTGATTTTTGATAGGATACAACATCTATCGAAAAGATGTCTAACTGTTGTGAAGAAATGTAAGTATAAACGTGAAGTCCATAGTGCTCTTCTTTAAAAATGGAAACAGCTGGCCACATTTGAAAAACGTGTGCGTGTAGTGGCAAGATAGCATAATGCTGGCTTTTTCTCGGGGCCCTGTCTAAGGCCTGAGCTAGACAGGCATAATCCAGTCTTCCAGTAGGGGTCTTCAAGCCATGCTAGTTTTCAAACAAAATAAGTACTGATCCTTCTTGTTCCTTGTCTAAGTAAAGTAAGTTAAATTATTTGTCCCGAAAGTACATCAAAAGAGATTTGCTACTGTGTTGTTGACACACATTCTGTTAATCCTGAGATTCTCCTCTGCTTCAAAAGTTACCCTAGGTTGATTGACGACACAGATACAATATCTGCTCTCCAGAGTTAAAACTCAGCTGCATGCCATAATGAAAGGAAAGCTGTATTTGTGATGCTGGGACACAATTCATCAGAGTCCAGTAATGGATCCCCAGCCAACCTGTATTGTTTTAGCTGACTGAAGTACACCATGGGAGTGCTGTCTTTCACTAATAATGCTGTCTTCTGTAGATCGAGGCCCCGAAAGCCATGGCAGCAGACCTTCTCAGAAGTTTTTGGCACTCGTTGGAAGATCCTGTGGTTTATTCCTTTCAGGCAGAGGCAACCACTGCGAGTTCCCTACCACTTTGCCAATCACGTCTAAACAGATGGATGGTGGGCACAGATGGGTCCTCCATGCTGGAAATGCGTTACAGGTTTTCTGATAATAGAACTATGACAGTCTTCAAGTCAATTAAAATCCACCCACCAATCTTAGGCATCATAATGTGCCCCAGGCTTTATTTTAATAGTGATCTTGATCCTGTTGTGGGACTAATACGAGATCTATATTTAAGTTTTAAAGCATGTTTACTTTCAAATTAGCTTTCCACGGGGATTTCTTTAAATGCTTTTGTGATTAGACCCCAAAGGCAGTGATTGAGATGAAATAATTGTACATAATTTTTTTTAGTACTGACAATGTTACAGATTTTAATTCATGGGAAATTTCAGATGTTTATTTAAATTGTTCACTCTTAAGCAGTACTAACCAAATCTGAATTTCATTCTTTGGGTTTACAAAAGTTGATACACCTTATATTATATGTAAGTTTTCTTTTTCAAATACATCATAATTTAAATAGCAATACTGCCTTTTATATGTGCTGCAGGGTTTTTTTTAATGCAGCATAAATTGAACAACAATGAAAAACCAAAAAAAAAACCAACAGAAAAAGGGCAGTGTTTTCTTAGAAGTAGCTCTCTAATGTTTTCTGTTTTTCTCTTCACCAAAAACAAAATAAAAACGCCACTAAAATAAAATACCAACTATCTACCTTATTTTAAAGGAAAGATGAATTGTTTTTCCATATTAACTTTCCCACTTCTTTTCCCTGCACTGGATATAATTATTGGTTGTTGTTAAAATAATTGCTCCAAGGCAGAATTTTTGACCACATGGGAATGTATTTTATTTTACACTAAGATTTTGATGAGCAAAAAGGGTAGAGAATTTGCAATAATTCCACAGGTACCTTTTCTCGTACAGTTATATTAGAATGAATATGTTTTTTAAATGCTAGTGTACTAGATAATATATAATGTACAGGGTAAAGAGGAATATTGTGCTTTTAAAAAACATATATATATACTTTTTACTTTTATTTACCTACTAGTACATCTAAAATTACACATTGAAGGTTTATATGTAATAGATATTGACCAACTAAATAATGAAATTTTATTTGTAGGAAGTTGCTAGTAAAAATAAGTAAGTAACCTTTGTGTACCTATAATCACCCAAATCAAAATGAAATTTTAATCGGCCAACTATAAATTTGGTTTGAGAGACCGTTTGTTAGTAGCTAATGTTAAGAAATGACCTTAAAATAAGAAAACATAAATATCTATATTTACCATTAGCTTATACAGATTTAAATGGCTAATGGTGATGGTCTCTTGGAAAGCAGAGAAGATCTGTGTGAAAAGACATTTAGCAGACTTTGAAAAAAATTCAGCCATTAGATTTTTTTCCATTAGAATACTGCAAAATCCATATATCTTTTTAGAAAATGTATGTCCTCACAGTCTTTGAAGAGAAGATTGAAGGGGTCTGCTGTTCTTGGAGCATATCAATATTTTCCTTTTAGTTAGTTTTGAGAGTAAAGTGTCACACCTGAGAAATCATGAAACCGAAGATTTCCGTTGTCAGCCAATTAACTATACTGTAGTTAGTTCTTCCAGGAATTGTAAATATCTTCTAAAGTAATCAAATAAGCTGTTCTCAGAGATATAAATATCATGTCTTTTATGTTCTGACTGCAGTGCTTTATTATTTAAAAATGTAGAATTGGCAGATGAAAATATTTATTGGTGCTGATAAGATGCGTAGTAAATTTAATATGAGAAGTATATTTATAGAGCTTAATGAACCACAAAATTAGTATGTTCATGTCAGGCAACTGGGTTGAGTTTCGTGCAAGCTAACGTACTGACCAAATTTTGGTCTGGTGACAGAACCGTTATAGGGAAGTAACGTGTAGATATATAAATAGGTCTCAGTCAAATGCCTTATGCTGTATACATTCCTGTCAGATGAGAACCTTGAGAAAAAGCAAAGCCTACTGTAGACCCCCCCCAAAGAGCTTTTTGGACATATTTAAACATCATATAGTAGCAGTAGGTACACACCTGGGAGGTCCTCAGTCCCAGCCTCTGCCTCGGCAAGGAGAGCTGGAGGTGGTCCGTTTCTCACTCCAAAGGTGGTTTTTGTTTTCTTAGATACACCACTTCTAGGCACACTTCCTTCCCTCCTTTCTCTTTACCCTCCCTGCTCCTGATCCCACTACTTGAGTCCTCTAAGTTACAGGGATATAAATTGATACACTAGGCAAGGCATATATTTATTTTGTTTGAATGGCAGAAATGCTATATATCAATCTATTTATATAAGAATCTATATTAAAGCATAGCTATATATACTTATGCTGTAACTTTCAGTATTCCCAAGTTAGCACACCTAACTGGGTTTATAATTCTTGTGCCAGGACTTGAAAGAAACCAACTGGCAGTTTGCTAGGGAGTACAGGAAGTCTAGTTGTGTTCTGTCTGCGCCCTCTTTTGGCGAATCAGTGTAATTATACTGGCTTTAGAGATCCACAGTGCCACAATTAACCATATAGTCTAATCCTGGACATGCCAGAATTTAGGGGCAGCGTATGTACAAAAATGTATGGGTTTATGAAAATCAGTGTGTTCCACTTTATAATGACGACGTCTAGTTCATATAAGTGTGATAAGTACTTGGCTTCATTTATGTATATTCTTATATTTTTTTACTCTCAATTAGAAATTTCTATTAGATCAGGATAAACAAATGTAAACCATTTCATGAATTTTATTTTAAACCTTACCTTGGCAAATTAAGTCCTTAGAATTAGGAAAACCGTTACTTAAAATGGCCAATTTATTACAAAACACAGAAACTTACTGTGGTTACATCAGTAAGCAAGTACCTAATGTGTTTTGATGGGTATTAAAAAAAATGTTTAATTATTTTTTAATCTCAGTTTTGGAATGACTTTTTTTTTTAACCTGATTCTAGTGCATTAAAAAAATAAGAGATTAAATAATTCTTTTTATACTTTTTTTTTTTAAGCTCTTCTATTCAGAGTTACAGCTATAACTTTAGTAGTCATTGTGTTAGGTATTTTGGATAACCATGAAAATAAGAAATGATGCTGAGCATTAGTAAATAGTTATGAGCAGTGGGATTACTGATGTGATGTTTGTTAGAAGTAGTATTTCCTTATAAACATTCCATTTTGTTTTAGGCAAAATATGTGTTAAAGGATGCTTTACATCAGCCAAATTTGTGGCTGGGGTCTGGAAATGAAAGATTTTTAGCTAGATGCTCTAGGTTACGCCTCTTGAACAATTATATTTGTTGTTGTTCTCTTCTGTAAACAAACGTGTTTATGGGCCCTAGATTACGGGGAAAAGTTGACTGAGTTCAGAATCCCCCAAATTGTAGGTATTCGGTTAAAGAGCTTTTGGTACTTTATAACCAAGACTTAAAGAGTTTTTAAAATATGTGAAGGTGTTGCATTATAAGAAAAATACTATTTTGCTTAAGAGTTGTATTAAAAATATTTGTGATTAACATAAGAGATAGCTGTATTTAACATTTTAGTTAATGTATTAATCTCTTTTAACAGAAGAAAGCATAGTTTACTTTTAATAGTAATAAAATTAGAAAGCATAAACATACGTAACATTCAGTATAACAACTAAGTTAAAACTTCTGTCAGACTGAACATCAGTGAATTTTTGCTGATGCTTAGAGGTATTTTTTCTCTAAGGATGCTGGCTAATTAAAACCATTCATCACCAGGCTTTTCCAGGTCACTTCCATAAAAGTGATTACTTGAAGGTGTGTTTCACCCAAAAGGATATATTATTTCTGAACGCTAATCGTGAAGACTTAGGTTAGAATAACACTTCCAACCAGGAAATGTGAAGTAGTTTAGACTATAGCCACACAGTTTTCTATGTATTAGATCAGAGGGCACTTTCAGTGTTCTCACATGTGTTGCTCTAAAATAGTGTATCCAGCCCTAGTTTACAACGACACTAATGTTAACAGAGCAGCTAGTCTCTCCCTGGGCTTTTTTCTAGTCTCTAACTAGTCCCTTGTGCTTCATGTATTTATAGATTATCTAGCTCAAGTTTACTAAACTATTGCTGCTTCAGTAAATAAAATTTTGAAATCACCTCTAATATATGTAGATATACTTGAATTTATTTGGGAAAGCTTATACTTATAAACATCAAACAATTTACTAATAGATACAAGTATTGGATTTTTTTACCTGACTTATTCTTGCTTTAAAAAATGTAAGTATTGGAAGATGTAGTTAGTCGTGTACATTTAGTATATTCTACTTGCTAATGTTATTAACCATATAATTAACAGTTCAATGAATGTGTTATTTAATGTCCGCATTTGTTACCTTCTCTAAGAATCATCCTCTGTTTATCTATAAATCAAAAATTTCATTATGCTCTGAACTTAGCCGTCCTCAATTGAATTCTAGAATATTCTACAGTAGAAATGTGAGAAAGTAATAGAAGCAACTCGCTTAAAGTAGTCTGAACCCATGTTGTTATTTTATAAATCAGCCAGTATTTAGCATTTCCGCTGCCTTTGGGATGATGATAGTTTAATTTTAGGAGAGTGACTGTTTTCTCTGATGTCTCCTTTCATTTTCATTGTGCAGTTTTTAACAACAGAATTTTTGTCTGGTTCTGCTTGTGCTGATTTGAAACAGAAGTAACAGTGGTATTTACAGTTCTTCAGTTTGGTATTGCCAGTATTTTTCATTATCATTATATTTATATTTTAATATTATATATCCTTTTCCCGTTGTCCACTATAGAGGGCAGGTACAAATGAGTAGCGAGTAGCCAAAATTGGATAGAGAGAGTAGGGGAGTTTACAGCGATGGAGAGAAGGCTGGACAGGACATGGGTAAGCAGCATCTCAGCAACAGGGCTGACGGGGTGCTGTCTCTGTGACATCAGGAAAGCCCCCGGGCAACAATCATGTGACTCATGTGAGCCTCCTTTCTTGTTGATATCATTTTACTGTGAGAGTGGCTACTGCGCGTAAGCATTTGGTTAGAGCCATTTTATTTCTATTGCTGATTCTCATCAGTTGGCCAGATGCCTTTGAGAAATGATTTTCAATTTTAAATATCGTACTTCTGTAGCATATGCTCACCTGAAGTGTTACAAATAACGTGCAGAGGGAAAATGGACAGGTTGCCGAAAGTTTGAAAAGTCCAGGTCCTTTTTTACAAGCTCCCTATTGCAGAGAAAGCATATTGAGTTTTCTAGTCAATGAAATCAGTGATTTGTTTATAAAGGATGATTTTCACTTTAAAATGTGGGCTTTTTTGGAGTTCTTGATCCCCCTGGAGGTCACCTAACCCATCGGTATCATCATAAATACCTGTCAGGTCACGTGGCACTGACCATAGCTGTTCACCACTGGGAGCTTTTTTGGTATTGATTTCTTTATATATAAGCAGAGATGTGGACAAAACAGCAACAACAAAAGATGTGTTTCGTTTTGTGGTTTTGTCTGCATGTTGTGAGCTCTGTGCTCTTGCCGGTGTGCGTCGGGTGTTACTTGAACCTATCGGTGCCTGAAGTTAGCGTTTTACAACCTCAGCAACTGAAACATCCTGGTGCTACTCGCTTTAGCGTTGAGTGAGTGACATTTTTAATTCCTGTACCAAAGAGTTAATTTTTTTTTTTTT